AATAAGTCATACAGTGTAATATTACACAGCAATTTTTAAATTTTATTTAAACATTAATTTAAAATATTACTAAGATATAACAATATGAATGAATCTCACAGAATGATAATTTAATGAGAAGTCAGATACAAAAATGTACAGTCCATTTATAAATATCCATGTATAGAAGTTAGAAAACAGGAAGAAGGAATCCATAGTGATAGAGGTGAGAATGGCGGTTACCTTTAGCAGGGGCACACTAAGTGGGATATTGCTCAAGGGAACCTTCCTAAGCCCTGGGAATGATCTGTATGGTGATTGTATGGGTATGTATGTAAAGGTTCAAGATATATACCTAAGATTTGTGGACTTGACTCGGTAAGTCTCCCATCAATTTGAATAAATAGGCTATGAGAAGTATTGCCATTCATTCTTTCTATCCACAGGGAACACTGCTCTGTTTTTATTGCTGTATGTGTCCGTTCATTTAACTTGTTTGTTTGTTTATTATTTGAAACAGGGTCTCGCTTTGTTGCCCAGGCTGGAGTGCAGTGGCACAATCTTTGCTCACTGCAACCTCCTCCTCCCAGGTTTAAATGATTCTTGTGCCTCAGCCTCCCGAGTAGCTGGAATTACAGGCACGTGCCACCACACCTGGCTAATTTTTTACTTTTAGTAGAGATGGTGTCTTGCCATGTTGGCCAGGCTGTTCTCAAACTTCTGACCTCAAGTGACCCGCCCACCTTGGCCTCCCAAAGTGTTGGGAATTAAAGACGTGAGCCACCACACCCGGCTCATTTAACTAATTTAAAATAACATACAGTTCTCCATTTCTCACCACTGCACACATTTGACAGATTTTATAGCAGTAACCCTAGCTCCTAGTACAACAGGGGTTACAGTTGGAAAACAGCCATTGATCAACCCTAAACACAAACATGGTACATATCTCTTCTTTTCCTCACAAAGCCTGGGTCTTAGGCTGCTCCTGCTCTCTTGTGTCTTTTCCCCATAGAGGGGTTAATTGGCAAACCTACTGAAATTTTATGTCATTTCTTTGGAAAGTACATATGTACATTTTTCTTCCATATTTTCTCTACACAAAGACTTTTAATTTGCACTTCCTCTTCCACTTATTTTTGAGTGGCCCTTGAATAATTCCTTTAGCTTTGTTAAGCCTAAGGTTTAATGCTTAGAAAATGTGTAGGCATTTATTTTACGTGTTTTAAAAGACTAAATTGTGAAGTGCTGACCGCATAAATGTATCACCAAATGGTAGAAGTCAACAAAGAAGACAGTTTGATTCATTCAGTGTCTAGATGAGAAGTGATTGCTTCTTGGCCTTTTGGCTAATATCAAGTATAGATGAAAAGTGAATTTTTTTTCCTTTTTTTTTTTAAAAAAAAGGGGTCTCACTCTGTCACCCAGGCTGTAGTGCAATGGCACAATCTTGGCTCACTGCAACCTCCACCTCCCGGGTTCAAGCAGTTCTCCTGCCTCAACCTCCCCAGTAGCTGGGATTACAGGCACACACCACTATGCCCGGCTAACTTTTGGTATTTTAGTGGAGACGGCGTTTCACTGTGTTGCCCAGGCTGGTTGCAAACTCCTAATCTCACGTGATCTACCCTCCTCAACTTCCCAGAATGCTGGGATTACAGGTGTGAGCCACCGCACCTGGCAGGGAAGTGAATTTTATGAAATTTGGACTTCAGTTAAAGCAGCTTTTAGACTGTGAGGAGTAGAAACTTAAATGCATTTATTAGAAAAGAATGATTAAAAATAAATGTAAGTGAAATGTATTTTTAACACTGGAAACTTTATGAAGATTAGTTAAGCTAACAAAGATAGTATAAGCAAAGGAATAATGAACAAGATATTGGCAAAACAGAAAAAAATGAGCTAACAGGTCAGAAACTAGTTCATTACAAAGACCATTAAAGAACAAATATTTGACAAATATGTTGAAGAAAAAAGCAAAGCATAAATACCATTAGGAATAAAGAATAATAATTGCAGATATGAAAGTATATTTTAAAATGATTTAAAAACTTATATAAAAAGACAATTTTAAGGAAAATACAAATTATCAAAATTTATCCATGAGAAAGTAAAAGCCTGACATGAACCAGTTAAAAAATTGAAATGCTCCTCAGGGATTCTCTTCTACTGAAAAGGCACTAAGGTTAAGCAAGTCCTTACAGCTTTCAATGATTAATTTCCATCTTATTTCAGATCATAGAAAAATGTGGGAAGATTTTCATCTCGTGTAATAAGGTTAGTATAATCTCGACCCCAAAATCAGGTAAAGCTTGCACAAGAAAAAAAATATATAGGCCAGTCTTACATATGTATATAGATGTCAAAATCCTAATTAAATTTCTTAGTGTTTTGAGTCCAGCAGTGTAATAGGAGTTAAGCTCAAGAAGAGCTCATACTAGGACTGTAAGGATAATTCAGCACTAGACAAATCTTTCAGAGTAATTCACCGCAACAGGTTGAAAGAGATAGACTATATGTAATCTCTCAGATGCTGAAAGCAGTCTATAAAATTCAACACCTACACTTGTTATAAAGTCCTTATTGAAAACTAGGAATAGGAGAAAAATCACCTAACTTGATAAATATTTTCTCTCAGAAACTTACAAGAAACAGATTTTATTTTTAAACATTAGACACATGCTTTTTAAGTTCAAGAATAAGAGAACATGCTCTCACTATTATTGCAGTATTAGAGTGTGAGGAAATAGGAGGCACAATATGTAAATACTAGAATGAAAAAGAGCGAATTGCACATTACATTCTTGTTTAAAACACTCAAGAGAATTCACTGGAAGATTGAACTAATAACCTTTAGCCAAATGGAAACAGGATACGAGATCTCCATTCTCACACAGATTTGCAGCAGACCTAGTTCCCAAGCCTAAAAACCTGTAGTTCCAGGAGCACTTTTTTTTTTTTTTTTAGATTTCCAAAAATCTCCAAAGGAGAATTATATATTTCAAAATGCATTTAACTGTGCGATTGAGGCACTTTCACCAATCTTTTAGTTGGAAATAACCCAATAACATGTTAAAAAGGCAGATACCATGAGGAGAATCTAATAGAATTCTATAATGTCTTCCTGGCAATTAAAATGCTGAATTTAAAATCATATGACTTGATGCCAGCATTTCACAGTTACTATATGCATTTCAAAGATGAAATACATAAAATCTCACATTAGATCGTATTAACAGATGAACATTTTCAGTTGTTTTGATGATAGGAAACACTAATGTGGAAACTTAATTAAGAAAAATGTTATTCCCCAAACAAGAATTCCATTCTTCTCATTAGTTGATCTGTATTACAAAAAAGTACTTAAATTGTTACTGTTACCATATTTTAAATTGCATCAATAAGAAATCTGTGAAAATTTGTTTTCCTTCTTGTTAAACAAGTATCTATATAATATCCTTCAGTTTGCCTCTTAGTCTGCAAAACCTAAAATATTTACTATCTGGTCTGTTACAGAAAAAAAGTGCTGCCTTCTGTAGCCAGTTGTCCATACCCGGCAATGTCTCTTTTAATAATTCAAATTGTATTGTTTCATTCTTGTTGTTTCTTTCCCCTTCTGCTTTTTTTCTTGTTGTACCTTCTCTATATTACACATATGTGGTGATGACACATTTATAAGTAGTTACTGCTCATCATGTCTTGATGTAATATCTTTATGCATAAGTTCTTTGGTGCACACTTGCTCAGTTACCTACATAAACTAAAAGGAGGCTGCTAGCATTTGGAAAGGACCAAGTGGGTAGTTTGAAAACGAATCAAGGTGGAGGGTTTGGAGGAAACTGAAAACATATATGATGTAGAGGGATGAGAACACATCTTAAGAGCTCAGAAAATTTGTTGATGAACTAAAATGCATAGCTGTAGCCCTCCTACGAGGATCATAGATGGGTATAGGTAGAGTAAGCTAAGCCCTTCAGTGTGGGAAATGGCTGTGATACTTCTGCCTTCCTGAGGTCTGGCCTCCTGCCTTTTCCATGGGACCCTGCCAAGTCAATATTTCATAGACTACAAGTCAGCTCAAAGAGAGAGCCAGTCTTGGCTTCTGTGTAGGTGGACTTATGTCTGTAGCAGCATGTGAGTCATTATCAGGATCTCTGCTGTTGAGGAATGGAGAGAAAGGATTTTTTTTCCTTTCTCCCCTTAAGAGAATATATGCTAGGTACAATTATGGGGACAAATCAACATCTACCAAGTTGTGTAGAAGAACAAATTATGGTCCAGGCCTGTTGGCTCATGCCTGTAATCCCAGCACTTTGGGAGGCCAAGGCAAGTGGATCACCTGAGGTCAGGAGTTTGAGACCAGTCTGGCCAGCATGGTGAAACTCTCTCTCTATTAAGAATACATAAAATTAGCCGGGTGTGGTGGCACACACCTGTAATCCCAGCTACTCAGGAGGCTGAGGCAGGAGAATCACTTGAACCTGGGAGGCCGAGGTTGCAGTGAGCCAAGATTGCACCACTGCACTCCAGCCTGGACATCAGAGCAAGACTTTGCCTAAAAAAAAACAAAAAGAAGAAGAAGAAGAAAGAAAATTATGTTTTACTTTTCTGTTTCTTAAACATGAATTTCCTTGCATACTTTCACAAAAGTTATTTTAAATCTCTTTTAAAAATACCTAGGTATAGCAGTAAGAGGATTCATCAGTTGCTGAGTTTATTATTGGAGATGATGTTGTAGCTTGTGTGTGTGTAGGAATACTCAGTGGCAGTCTGTTTTTAGCCCTGTTATCTTCTTCCTGTTTTCCTGAGAGGCATTGTCTAAAATATACTTATCAAACAACTAAACTCTAAATATGATTGGAGGGAGGAATTCTTTCTTATTTTTTCTTTATACTTATTTTCTATTGTATTGTATTTATACTTCATACATCTATATATATTTTAGTATATGTAATGACATTAAGATTACTTGTTTTTAAATGCAGTCATTTTTATTGATTTGCATTCCTCCTATCTTTCAGTTCCTGATGATAATTCATTATTGCTGCTGCGGGCAGAGTTATATTTGATCACGAAGAACTATGAGCAAGCTCTCCAGGATGCCAGCACAGTTTGTCAGAATGAACCTCTCTTGATTAAGGTATTTGTATTTATTAGCCTTGGAGATAATCAATATAAAGTTTATAGGATTTTCTTAAAAATTAAAGTAAGATTATTGTGATCAGGTACCTGTAGATAACATGCATTTCCCTCAAGTTACTGTACCTACATTTAGCAATCTACTTCATAAAGCAACCTAATTTAAAAGACTAAATCTCCAACTGGATTTAGCTGAGAAACACTAATGTTGATTACACTTAATAGATATTTAACTGAATAATATGCTCTCTACATTGAAAAAATATATAAACAAAGTCATCAAATTTTATAAAGTTATAAGTGAAGAGAAAATATTCAAAATTACAACGTAAATAGGAAAATCACTTGATCATGATTAGCTGTTGGGTTCTCATATGCATATAAGCAAATCAATGCTTTTGGTGAAGGGGTTAACATTTTGTGTACATTTTACACTAATTTTAGTCTCTGTGTTTTGATTGGAAAGGTTTAATATTTCTGTCTCTCAGGACAAAAAATGAACTTTGCTGATCTGAGAATGATAGCTTAAGTTGTACTTAAAGAAGTTTAAGAAGCCAAAGAATAAAAGCTTTTTCATGAATCTTTGAATTTTAAAGTGTTAAAGAACTTGTGATGAAATTAACAGCTAGAGCATGCTCTATTAGTCAGTTAATAACTAAAAATATTTATTCTGCTATATTACTTTATATCATCTTTGCCTTAGAAACATTAAAGAGACAATAAACCAGGTTAGTAGTCAAGCTCTGGGAAGCCTGCCCTTCTTCCCTCCCATGTTTTAAAACAAATGTTTTCAGATTAGCCTGAGTGTCAAGTTCAACCTGGGGGTAAGCCCAAGAATGGGAGCAGATGTTTGTTGGACTAAGTTCAGAAATCTATGTTGTTGCTTGTTTGCTTTCCTAAAACAAAATCTGGACTCCAATTTCAAATGCCTTTTCTCATATGCCTTCACCCATTCTTTAAAATTATGTTTTTAATTGGCAAACAAAAATTTGTATATATTTATCGTGTAATATGTTGATTTGAAATATGTATACACTAAGAAATGGCAAAATCAAGTTAATTAACATGCATTACCTCACATACCATTTTTTGGTGAGAACACTTAAAATTTATCCTCTCAGCAGTTTTCAAAAATACGATACGTTGTTACTAACCATAGTCAACATATTGTATTGCAATAGATCTCTTGAACTGATTTCTCCTGTTTAGCTGAAATTTTGTATTTTTTGACCAACATCTCCCCAGTTCTTGCCTGCCTCTCTTCTTCTAAGGTAATTTCTATCAGTAATGATCAAGCCTTAGTTATTATTAATTATAACTATTCTTTCTGACTGACAGCCCTGCACTGCCCTCTGAAGCTAGATTCCTCTCCATAGTATTATTCGTTGAGCTAAAAACTTGACAGTATGTCTCTGACAAAAGATAGACTTAATTCCTACAGAAGCACATGGCTTATTGTAATTTTTTTTTTTTTTTGAGATGGAGTCTTACTCTGTCGACAGGCGCCAGGCTGGAGTGCAGTGGCGCAGTCTTGGCTCACTGCAACCTCCACCTTCCGCGTTCAAGCGATTCACCTGCCTCAGCCTCCCGAGTAGCTGGGTCTACAGGCATGTACCACCACGCCCAGCTAATTTTTTTTGTATTTTTAGTAGAGACAGGGTTTCATTATGTTGGCCAGGATGGTCTGGATCTCTTGACCTCGTGATCTGCCCTTCTTGGCCTCCCAAAATGCTAGGATTACAGGCATGAGCCACCGCACCCAGCCTATTGTAACTTTTTAAGGGAGGCAGCAAATGACTATTTAGTGTTGGTGATGGTGGTCATATCTGCAGGGTTTATTGCAAATCTGTGGACCTCAGTTCTTGACAGATGCCCAGTGAAGAGCAGCTTCAGCCAAAACATAGTTTAGTAAGTAAGTTTAAGATAGTAAAAGACAAATTCTAAGTGTATTATTATAACTAAGGATTAGGGAAGAAGTGCTATTGGAAGATAAGTTAAGGAAATGGGAAGTAAGTTGACTGAGGGGAAGACTGACTAAGGTGGCTGAGTGTGGTCAAGCTGAGATGGAAGCTGGTTTAGAATCAAGCACTTTGAGAAGTACTTTTAGATTCTGAGGGGAGGTGGGGATGTTACAGCAGTGTGTCTTAATTCAAGCAAAACTGCCCTTTCAAGCAGCTAGTCATGGCTAATATTCATCATGGCTAATGAGTCAAAGCTTTTGGAGCAACTGGAGATAAGCCACTGCCAGCAAAATATTTGCCCATTTGCATAAATAGATATAGGCACATGATCAGTTTGAGCTTATCCAAACATCAAACCTGTAAGACTTAAAATTACATAAAAGCCAGTTAATTCAGTTAACAAACATTTACTGATACACTGTGGTATCAAAAATGTAAATCTTGATTGAGATTCTGTGCACATGTATGAAATACTTGAAACTTTATGTGAAGTTCTCTGTACATATAATACAGTATTCTTTCAGAAGTTTTGATAATCAAAGCAAATTTAGACACTACTAAAACATGAAAGTTGGGGACTTTTATAAGGCCTGAAAGGGGCACTAGGAACTTCGTATTCATAATTTTGTACTCTTCCTGACCAGGTGCAGTGCCTCATGGCTGTAATCCCAGCACTTTGGGAGGCTGAGGCAGAAGGATCACTTGAGGTCAGGAGTTCAAGACCAGCCTGGCCAATATGGTGAAACCCTGTCTCTACTAAAAATACACACACACACACACACACACACACACACACACACACACACACATGAGCCAGGCGTGGTGATGCACACCAATAACACCAGCTAATCAGGAGGCTGAGGCAGGAGAATCACTTGAACCTGGAAGGTGGAGGTTGTAGTGAGCCCAGGTTGCGCCACTTCACTCCAGCCTCGGTGACAGTGAGACTCCATCTCAAAAAATAATAATAATAACAATTTTGAACTTTTCCTTAAACAGACTTTCCAAATTATGTAAGATTAAGGCTCCACAAAAATTGAATCTGCTCTTACGAAAGGAGAATAAGATAATTAGTAAAACTTCACATTTATTATAAATGTAAAGTCCCATAGAGGAATCGTTGATTATCTGAAGTGTATTTGAGACTTCAGGGAGCTCAGGGATGAAACCGATGATTTGTTGTCTAAAATATTCATCATGTGTTTTGAAATGGCTGTTCTTCTAGAGAGCTGCAAGGTAAGGGATGTGATGAATAGACACTTAGCAAATGTTAGGAGAGATGTTGGTGCTGGAGATGGAGCCTGGGCACCATCAGCACGGTTATGGTATTTAAACAGTGGAGAGAGAAGTCTGGTAAGCTAGGACCTGAAAGTGGACCTTTACATTTACCCATTAGTGGCTACCAATGTTCTGGAGCATTTTTAGTACAGAAATAATTAAAATGATGGCAACAGGGGTTGTGGTTTACCTCTAGTAACAGTGAAGGAGCGAAGTGGTCATGTGAACCCAGAGGGGAAAGCAGTTATAAAAACTGGATTAAAAAGAATACATTGTAAAGCATCGGAAAACAGAAGCTGGAGCAGAGTTTCTAAAAAACCTGCACATGAAAGGGATAAGAACTGTGTGGGGGTTTTTGTTCGTTCTTTTATTTTTGTCTTTTTGGCCCCTGAGTTCTGTCTGTCTCCACAGCTGCAGCTGCAAGAAAACAGTAGTGGGACAAACACTCAGCATCACCACCTAAAAGTACCAGGAGTTCAGAGTTCTAACAGAACAGCTGGAAATTAGGGGAATCCCTAAACGCAGAGAAATCCCAGGGCAGATGATTCCCAGCTCTGACCAAATCCTGGCTTATTACCAAATTTCATAGGCATTTGGGAGAACCACAAGACTTAAAAAGGAGCTGTGGAAGTTGGGCGCAGTGGCTCACGCCTGTAATCCCAGCACTTTCAGAGGCCGAGGCTGGTGGATCACAAGGTCAGGAGTTTGAGACTGGCCTGGCCAATATGGTGAAATTCAATCTCTACTAAAAAAAAAAAAAAAAAGATTACAAAATTAGCCGGGCGTGGTGGCAGGCACCTGTAGTCCCAGCTACTCGGGAGACTGGGGCAGAAGAATCACTTGAGCCTGGGTGGCGGAGGTTGGCATGAGTTAAGATCGTGCCACTGCACTCCAGCCTGAGCAACAGAGCAAGGCTCAGTCTGAAGTAAAAAATAAAAATAAAGGAGCTGTGGAATAGCATATTAACAGAGCAGAGATTTCCCAGCTCTGTACAGTGAAGGAGATAACAGGTCACAGTGGAATCCAGCAAGGTTAACTGCCTATTAAAACAAAAACCCAGAATTCTCAAAAGAGTACCACAAAATGCAGAGGTTGATGCAACATGTTTTGTGCAGAGTTTAGTTTCAGCCAGAAATGCTTGCCATGTAAAGAAACAGAAAATGTTGACCTGTACTTGGGATAAAGAACGGCCTATTAAAATTGTCTCTGAGTGGGCACAGATATTATATTTTCCACAAAGAGACTTTGAAGTAGCTATTATGAATAAGTTCAAAGTATTAAATTGCATACAAAGAACTGAAGGAGAATATATTATCTTTGATTGAGATTAAGAGCAATCTCAACAGGGAAATTGAAACTATAAAAAATGGAAATTCTGACTGGGTGTCATGGCTCATGCATGTATGCCCAATGCTTTGGGAGGCTGAGGCAGGAGGATCGCTTGAGATTAGGAGTTCAAGACCAGCCTGGGAAACATCATAAGATTACATCTCTACAAAAATTTAAAAATTAGCCAGTTAGGGTGGCATGTGCCTGTAGTCTGAGCTACTCAGGAGGCTGAGGTGGATTGTTTGAACCCAGGAGTTAAAGGTCACAAGGAGATCTGATCGTGCTACGGCATTCCAGCCTGGGCAACACAGTGAGACCCCGTCTTTTAACAAAAAGGAAATTCTAGAGATAAAAATTATCAATGCTGAAATCATAAAAGTTATCCGTGCTGAAATTTAAAATTTCTAGGTAGGCCCAATAGCACATTATACATGGCAAAATGATCAGTGAAATTAAAGATAGATCTGTAGAAACAGAAATTATTTGATGCAAAGAACAGAAAGAAAAAAGATTAAAGAAAAATGAAAAGAATCTTGGGAACTTGTGGAATAATATGAAGTGGCACAATATATGTGCAATTGGAATCCCATAAGAAGACAGAAAATGTTTGGCAAGAAAAAAAATGAAGAAATAATGGGTGAAAAGTTTCCAAACTTAGTGGGAAACATTAATTTCAGCTCCAAGAAGGTTAACTCAAGTTATAAGCATTGATACATTCTAATCGTAATCAAATGGCTATGCTGTAAGCCAAAGATAAAAAGAAAGCCTTGAAAGCAGTAAAGAAAAATGACATGAAATGAGAATGAGCAAAATGACATACAAGGAAATAATATTGATGGTTGCCATGTCATCTGAAATTGTGGAAGCTAGTTGACATTGGAACAGCATATTCAAAGTGCTAAGAGAAGGTCTTTCAACTATATGTAAACCAGTAGAAAACAAAAAAATAGTATTTTTACAGATTTGAGAAAATATTGCATTCATAAGTTGAAAAGCAAATGCCATGGGAAATTACTGACCCATATTGTATTTTGTTTATTTTTATTGTGGCACTTACTATATTATGCTTTGTATTCTAATTGTCTTTAGTCATGTCTGTCTTGGTTCATGAGACTGTAAACTCCTGGAAGGTAGGAAGATGATAGTGACCTGTAATTGCTGAATGAATTTAAAGTTGATAGCCAGTTTCCTCTTAGCACGTCCCTTGGAACTCCTTTGTGCAGTACATTTTAGGTATGTTAACTCCTGTGTTCTGACTGTAGATTGTATTTATGAGCTACTGAAGTTTGCTGAGTTTCCAGGGTAGTGAGTTACAGTAGCAATAGAGTCATCCTTGGTGGGTTTTGTTTATTCTACTTAGTGTGAAATTAAAACAAGTTATTATAATAAATTTGTTCAGGGAAGTTTGTATTCAAGTATGTAATCATGCTAGGTTTTAAAAATGCATACTTTGTCTTGGTTGAATCTAGGGACATCATGTAAAAGCTCAAGCTCTTTCTGGATTGGGAAGAAGTAAGGAAGTGTTAAAGGAATTTCTCTACTGCCTTGCTCTAAATCCTGAATGTAACGCTGTGAAGAAAGAAGCACAGAAGGTATGAGTTCTGTTAAAGGACTTTCTCCTTCAGGTCTTATTTATGGCCTTCATGTTCATGCTGAGTAACCCTTGCATGTGAAATAAACAAGAAATATATTTCTGAATGCTCATGACAATGTGTTACAGAATACATGGTAATAATTATAAGGTTCATGCATTGGATCACTTCTAGGCAAACATTATGTTTTGTCCCTGGGTAAAGTAGAGTGTTTCATGAGACAGCATAAACATACCTTAATTCTGTTGATGTAATGACACACGTTAGGCAAGGCAAGGTTGCTGTGTGAGGCTAGGGAGGCAAAGTATTTTGTCCTAGAGTTTGTAGTTTCATGTATTATGTAGTTTGTGTAGGAGCCTTATGAAAGACATTATGTCTTATAAAGCCGAGTTGATCAACTCGGCTTTATAGGGTGACTTGTAATTTTTAGCAAAGCTTCACCAACACCGTGCAGAAATACGTCTCTTTTACCCATCATCCAGTCACACTGAATATAAAAATCTATTCTGTTAAAAAGCCTATACGATGGTTGCCTGATATTTACTTAGCACTTCCAATGACCAGGAGTTTTTGTTTTTATGTTTGTACTTCCCTGTTTTGACGCTGTATATTTTCAACTTCTACCATATACTTACCCTGTAATTTTTACTTACCTGTCCAGTTCTTTTCTCTGGAGCAACAGAAAATGAATCAGTTCTTCCTTGTACAATTCAACCCACATTAGATATTTGAGAACAGCTATTGTCTTTGCCTTAACATCACCATGTGGGTCAAACATTCTTTTCTCACAGAATGGGGTTTTTAAGATTTCCTCTTCTGGATGCATTCTGATGTACCCTATATTTTAGCATCTACACGTGACAGCCACATTTGGTGAAATTTTACCTTCCCTTGTGTTCAAATTAGGGGTCATGTTTATTTCTAAATACCTAGATCATCTTTTTTTTTTTTAAAAGAAGAACTTTCTAGCAATGTTTTTTATCTTCTCTTTTGTACTTGATTGGCAGATTGGTGTTAGTCCTGTTCAGTTGTCCTGACAGTTGTTCAGTTGACCAGTGTCACTCATTGGTTTTTGAACATCATTTCAACCTGTCAAAATAATACTGCATCTTCAGCCTGCTATTCAGCTATCTCTGCCTGCTTTGTCCTGTATGCAAACTTCCTAAGAATCTTAAAACATGTCTCAACTAATTCCATGACCTTTTTCTGAGAAAGGCAGCCCAAGCTCAAAGAGATTAAGCATATTCACCAAGGTTCCTGGTCGAGGGTTTAGGTCTTGTGGGTGTTGTTTGCCTGGAGCTTTTTCAGACGTGGTGTTTTCCCCTGGGCATTCTATGGCTGATAGATATATTGTATCACAGACAGTACCAAAAACAGTGTTAGCCTGTTGACATGGAATGTCAACCAGCAGCACATGGAATGTGCTCCATCACCAGCAGCTTTGCTGAAGCTCTCAAAACTGGCACTGAGGACCTTAATGTCGCTGCTAAGAGTGCTGGTACGCATTGCAACAGAGCCATGGATTCTAGTGTACCCACCTTGAACCACGAGGAACAGTGGAGAGTGGGAGGAGTCTTTGTTTAGCTTTCAGTCACTCCTTTCTGCTTTTCTCAAGCCTTGGATGCAGCTGAGGCCATGAGGTTTGACACGACCATGTGAGTGTCCACTAGAATTGGGTGTCAGCTAGAATGCCTAACTGGCCATCACTGTCCACCCTTCCCCTGCCCCAACGAATGCCACTCCCTGGTTCTTGAGCCAGAACTATGGCCTTTCCCTCTCTTTCCCTTTAAAGTTCTTTATAAGGTGGCTTTTTTGGTTCTCATAAATAGAGCAGTTATGTAGAGTGACCTCAGTCCTGTGGGTGATCACAGCTTAGATTTAATTCAAGGCCCCAGCAATCTTTACATCCTCTTTCTCTCTTATCTGTGTGGCTTTTAGGGGAGACTTTATATAGCAGATGTGTAAGGACCGGCCAGAAGGAAGTGGTAATACTATCATTTTGTCATTGGGAAGTGTAAGATGGAAAGGGATTGGAAGCTAAAATACTTAAAACATTGACTCTGGTTTCAAAAATGTTTGTTTTTCAAAAGGTTGGCAGATAAATTATTCTTTTCAACATTTTAGGCTTATTTAGCCTCATAGTTTTCTTGGAATCTGTAAGACATACTATGTTTTACAAAAATATTTTAAGATATGTTTTCTTTTCTTGGCAATTTTATAGGTAATGTGTGAAGTGCTGTTTTCAGCTGCAGAAAGTGTGCATGAGAATTTAACATCTTCCATCCAAAGTAGATTAGAGGCCCAAGGTCACAGCCACGTGAATGCCCAGTCTCAGCCGGAAGACGGTGACGCAGGGAGCTCTGAGGTATGAAGTGCATGTGTTTGTCAAGATTCTCTTGATTAAGGTTTATGTAATTGCTTCATTTTAAACAGTCTACAGATTATTCACACATTATGGCGTTGTGTTAGTTAGACATATTTCTCAAGACCAGCTGTAGCTCCTCAACCTGGGAGTTGGAGCTTTTACACACAGTCTGTGGAAGTAATGAAAGTGATTAAAGATTCAAAGAAGCTTTAGAACACCACCAAATCACCCACAACGACAGGAGACTTGAAGTTATCTTGGCTTGGAGAAAATAAAGAAAAGGGATGATTTGAATATGATACTGTATATGAGTGTGTGTGTGTGTGTGTGTGTGTGTGTGTGTGTGTGTGTGTAGATAAATAGATTGCATATGAAGATAACTTTTCACTTGCCTTGGCTCAGGAAGAAATTATCCTGTATTTTACTGTGAAAAGAATAAAGCTCATCCTAGAAATTAATAGATGAAACCAATTATGCAAGAAGAATGTAAGCCCTTTTTTTTTCCAAATATTTCTAGTACAGGCTACTGAATTCTTTTTCTCTTATGCTATGATTTCTTTAATATTCAGGATTTCTTTTTTTCCTACTTAACCAGAATTCATCTGAGAAATCTGATATGCTTGGAAATACCAATTCTGTAGTTCTATATTTCATACTGGGTCTGCACTTTGAAGAGGATAAAAAGGTGTTAGAAAGCATCCTTCCGACAGCACCCAACGCTGGCTTAAAGGGACAGTTTCCAGATGACATGGAGGTTGCACCTGACCTGAACGCTCCTGGAAAAATTCCCAAGAAAGGTCAGTGAATTATTTTCATCAGGCAGTTCTGTGACTCCAAAGTGATAGAATGTTAGCTAGTATTCAATATATTTTTTAAAATTCTGTACCATTTAATATTAGTAATTAAATGATTATATCAGCTCTAAGATTATAGAGCATTTTAGATGTTTTACACAGCAAAGACTTTATAGTCAAAAATAACAGAGAAAATTTAGCTATAATTGTAAATTCTATTCACATTTATCATCCAGATAAATAATTGCTGTATGCTGTTAACTGGACAGGAACTATTTCTGGCCACGTGATTTGTTACATTGATACAGCCCATTTTGTCCAGAGGAAATACATTTCTTGCTTGCTGTTGTTCAGATGCTTAGGTGTTAATTACAGCGTTCTAAATTTTTTCATGTTCAGATTTCTCACCTCAAAGAAGCCTGAACTCTGATATGGAAGAAAGTCAGTGGCTCTCGCTTGATGTGACTGACTTTGAGTGTGCCCTCTGCATGAGGTAGGATGATACAAATTCCATGCAACTCGTTGAAACTTCAGCATTTCTGAAATGTGTACCAAAGTGTAATGGGCTTTTTGTTATTGGGGAAACTATGTAGAGCTCAGTAATAATTGATTTATTTTCTAAAGATTTGATAAAGAAGATGTAAAAATGGAAGTACATGCAAGTGATTTCTAGAACAGTAATGGAATTGCATGAGGAATCCTTCCAAAACAAATCCATGATTTGAAAATCTGTCCTGGACGTTTCTTGCTGAAAACAGATATTTTCTTCCAGGTTGCTCTTTGAACCTGTCACTACGCCCTGTGGACACACATTTTGCCTGAAATGCCTTGAGCGCTGCCTTGACCATTCCCCACAGTGTCCATTGTGCAAAGACAAACTTTCGGAAGTAAGTACATTTTAGGAAATGACAAGACAGTTCCTCCTCTCATCCCTTGGTAGACGCATATTCCCTGTCTTGCATTGCATTTCCCACCCAACTGTTAAAGAAAGAGATTTCTCCAGTCAAAGATAGCTCTTTTCTCATCTCTTTGATTAATCAAGAAATACACAAGGAAGGTTTACATGCAGAAATTGCTAAAAATTTCAGGAAATTTTTAGGTATAAATTTTAGTTGAGATATTGAAAATAGCTAGTATTATTGAGTCCTTACATCACGTTCATTGTAAATGGTTGAGACATTGTCATGTACAGTTAATGTGTTCCAGAAATTCTCATTTTCATCTTGAGAGTTTTTCATAGGATTGAAGGCTTGATCATTTCTGACCACTGGTAAGTCCCCTTAGAGCTTTTACCAATTGTCAATTATTATTGTCTTTGGCCTAAAATCAAAATCAGTAAAATTCAGGTCCCATGGGGAAGGTATTTAATGATATTTAGCCCTAATATAAACTATTAAATCTGTTTACATTAGGTGTGGCAAATACAACAAAGAATATTTAAAAGCTGAAGACCTCTGATCAATTTCTGAAATAGCAAATTCTTATCAGCTGTATTGGGCTATGGTTCCATTAGTGCCACTAACTTTATATGAAGCAAGTCATTCAACATCTTATGGGGGTGGGGAGTGTCTTCTTTTGTTTTTCATTCATTAAATGTGACATAATATTTGCCTTAATTACTTTCCAGAGATTAAACTTATTGAATGCATTTTATGTAGGATAAAGGTTTTTTCTTTATACAAATGTACAGTAATATTTTTAAATCTGATGTGATAAGAGGAGGTATTATACTTAAGTGAAGTTTTAAATAATTATAACCTTTAAAATTTACTGCCAAAACAGCAAACCACCTTGCCATGTATGTACCTATGCAACAATCCTGCATGATCTGCACATGTACCCCAGAACTTAAAGTATAATAAAAAAATTTACTGCTGGGCACGGTGGTGCATGCCTGTATTCCCAGCTACTCAGGAGGCTGAGGTGGGAGGATCGCTTGAGCCCAAGAGTTCTGGGCTGTAATGCACTATGGCGATTGGGTGTCTGCACCAAGTTCGGCATCGATATGGTGACCTCCTGGGAGTGGGGGAACCACCAGGTTGCCTAAGGAGGGGTGAACCAGCCCAGGTCGGAAATGAAGCAGGTCAGAACTCCCTTGCTGATCAGTAGTGGGATCGTGCCTGTGAATAGCTACTGCACTCCAGCCTGGGCAACATAGCGAGAACCTGTCTCTAAAAAAAAAAAATTCACTGCCAAAAGATTAAAATAACCAGTTACCATTGAAACCATTTTCTAAAACATTATATGTACATACTTTATTAAATTGCGTGCATACTGAATCTTTCTAAATTCTTCAGAGCTCTCATGAACATCAATGACTGTGCTGTGTGCTTTGCGTCACAGTGGTGGCTGCGTCTGAGTTTGAAGAGCTGTTTCTTTGGCAGCTCCTGCGCAGTCCTCCTCCTGGTGTTTGCTGTCTCTTCTTGCTAGTAGATGCCTCAGACCCATTGCCTCTTGTTCTGGTGCCTGCCTGGGCCAGAATAGGCTCATCTGTTCTTACAAGAATAAAATGCATGTCTGCGTGAGCCCTATTTACAACACAGATCTAACTCACTTCCGTTTCAGTGCTGCCTTGTAGGAGGCCGAGTGAAGATGCAGTATCTGGAAGTCAGCACTGGAATAGAAGCTGCTTATATACTGAGACTTCCTGTGACCCATTTTCCCTGTATTTACAGGGACTGGCACATACACCAGAGACTCTTGAAGTCTTTGTTGAATAATGAATGAATCAGTGAATGAATGAATGATTATATGCAAACTATACATGGATTACTAATGTTCCAGAGATTAGAATACTGTAAAATGAAATAAAATCCAAAATTATCATTTGGTCTTTCTTCATTGCAGAAATCACATCATGCTCATAGACACCTTTGCATACACTACCAGGGACCTGAATCATCATTTATATATGAATCTACAGAAGTGGTTAGCATCGTGCCAAGTAGAGCATGTTTTATTGTATTACTCTTCAATGAAAGGACATTATAAACCATTTATAATGACAATTATGAGGCAGTTTTGTGAATTAGATGATAGCGTGTTTCTCAACCAGTTAACCTGCAATAGCGGCTCCCAAACATAGGCCTTTCCAAAGTTTGAACTCCTGGCTCTCAGTCACAGCAATACATTTAGTTTGTGTCACACCAGCTACAGGGAAACCTGGCAGGATTCGAAGGACTCACCCAGCCAAGGTGTGTTGGAAATACGTGGTGCCATCCCAAGCTCATAAATGCAGCAGGCCATCAAAGAGCAGAGCCCTGAAACCTGCCAGGCCTGGGGTCCTCACTATGCCATGGTGGCTCAGCACTCACCCTTACCCTTTCTGAGTCACAGCTTTATGAGCGCAGTGGAGAGAACAACTGTAGCATTATACTGTTTTCAGGACTAATAATGCACCTGCAACAGCACCTGATGTGTATCAGAATGTCAATGAAAAGAGCTACTATATGCTAGTATACATGACTGCAATAAAACAGTGCAACCTACCGAACTACTACTCTGTGTGTCCACACATGCGTGCGCGCATGCACATATGCACACATACAGAGTAGTAGTTCAGCCACATTGTGGCCCTGCAACCCACGAATTGTAGCACTTCCTGGTTTAGTCTCCTCCCACCTTCCCTTCACATCCAGCTTTAATCCATGGTCCCTTACTCCCTTTCTCAATCCCAAAAAAGTCAACCTTTACCGTTTGCATGCATCCTAAGTAACACAACAAAGCTAGAAAAAAAACACAGCATTGGGAAGATTGGTGTCAGTTTAGATGAACGATTTTAAGTCTTAGACTTAAAACATCAGTAATGATTCTTACATTCTTTCTCTAGTAGTTGCAGTTCTTTACTCTCCAAGCTGATCATTGCATATGTCTCTCCTCTCCCAGCATGCCCTACTTCACTTCCTCCCCTCTCATTAATATCGTGGCACTTGGCTGAAAATGTAGATGCTGTCAAGATTGAGTTGCCTCATCCTTCGTCCAGGTGAACACCACCTCTCACAGTGGAGGGGCTGCCCCTGCTCCTGGCACAGCTGGCCCTCCTCCCTCTCCACTCTGCTCCTCCTTACCTGCTCAGAGATCCCATCCGCCACCTCCTTGTTCACCGTTCGACTGGGAAACTTGGTCCTTTAGCGTCAATTACCATACGGTATCATTTGACTTTTTTGTTGTTGTTTTATTACAGCTATTGGCAAGCAGAAACTTTAATATAACTGCTCTGGCTGAAGAATTAATAATTCGGTATTTGTCGGATGAATTGTCTGACAGGAAGAGAATTTATGATGAAGAAATGTCGGAACTGTCAAAGTAAGTGCTCACGTATGTCCTTGGTCTTAGGTTCAGACTGAACTTTGTCAACCTCAACTTTACCTCAGGTTTCCTTTTCATGGCCGGGAACTCTTTTGGTCTGTAGGTGGAAAAAAATGTTAATTGCAAAATATTTTTGGAAACGTAATTGCAAGAAGTTATAAGAAATTTTTTATAAGATATTTTTAAAGTGTTTTAACAAAATTACATAGTTGCTTTATGTATATAAGTAAGTGATACTGAATTTTTCAGGATTTAAAAAGCAGAGAAGGCTGGGCACAGTGGCTCATGCCTGTAATCCTAACATTTTGGGAGGTCAAGTCAGCAGGATTGCTTGAGCCTTAGGAGTTCAAGACCAAGCTGGGAAACGTAGCAAGACCCTTTCTCTATATCAAAATAATTGTTAGAAATAAACAAAAGAATATAAATGTATTTGTTACCGATGAACTGTACACTTAAGGATAGTAGACTATATATGTATATTTTACCTCAAAAAATGTTTTAATGTAATATCTGCAAAGTGGAGTGAAGTGAAGCACAATTTTAAAAAGTAGAGCGAGAAGCAAGGCCCAGGATTGCGAATCACAACAGGTTTGACAGTTTTCATCACTTAAAATGGTGGAAGTTTTGTGTTTTTGTAGAGATCTTATCACTCTTCCACTCTGCTATTTAAAACTCATTGCCTTTGACTATTATGTAGTTTTTGCTTTTATCAGAATTTTTTTAGAGTGCTCAAAAGCTATAACTTTTCCAAGCAAAGTAATATAATTCAGCAGGTTCCCTTTTCTCTAATTAAATAAGACAGATTTGTCAGGAAACCTAGGTGAGCAGAGAATGTTCACAGGCTGTGGTCCTTGGCTTTCTTGTCCCTCTTAACCTGAGGGTTTTGTTTTGTAGCGGGGAGAACTGAGGTTGAGTGTTTGCTATTTTGGCGGCCAGTACTACCCTCTGATCCAGCAGCTCATACATCTGAGATAACGTGTCCCCTTGCCCTGCAGTCTGACCAGAGACGTCCCCATCTTTGTGTGTGCCATGGCCTTCCCCACGGTCCCATGTCCACTCCATGTCTTTGAGCCCCGCTATCGGCTTATGATAAGAAGATGCATGGAAACGGGCACCAGGCGATTTGGCATGTGTTTATCTGCTGAGCACGCAGGGTAAGAACTGTCGGCATTCAAAGGGTCCTAATTAAGGGCATTGTTTGTCATCTTTCTTGCAGAATGGTTTAGGCTGATGCTTGAAAACCTCCAGTGACTCCTATTACGTAACGAAGTCCAAGTTCAAGGCTGCGCATAATGCGGTCCCATCCCTCACTGCCCACCTCTTCCTTTCAACGTCACACCCGCTAGTCCACTGCCATGCTGCCTGCCCTTCTCTTGTGACAGCTCATGCTTCCACACCTCCGTGCTTCCCTCTGCCTGCAAGTTTCTTTATCCCCATCTATATACAAACAAACCTAGTCCAACTTTTGAGGTCTAGAAAAATTACAGCTGGGCTCGGTGGCCCATGCTTGTAATCCCAGCACTTTGAGAGGCTGAGGTAGGAGAATTGCTTGAGCCCAGAAGTTGGAGACCAGCCTAGGCAGCATAGGAAGACCCCATCTCTACAAAAAATTTCTAAAATGAAAAATTTTTACATCCTTTACAAAGCTTTTTCCCTGTCTCTACAGCCAAATCATTTTCAGTCTTATAAAAACACACTACATGTGGTTTTCACTTCCTCTCACTTCATGTCTATGTCAAGGGAGAATATTGCAAGCCAGCAGGTTGTTCCTCTCTGTGGACTGATTTGGGGACTCAGGACCCTCCCATCCCTTAGGAACTTGTCAGCCCTACATGATCATGATGAGGTCACTGCCTCCAAGTGCTAGCTGTGGAGGAGATGCACATGCCCCTAAAGGACTGTAAAGAAAGGGGGCTACCTTCTGTTCACACCTGCTGCAAAGGAGCCTGGCAAATATAGTCCACCCATGTGCCCAGGAAGAAGAGGAGAGTGCATTTTTAGGACCACTCAGAATTTTCTACCATAAGTACCTAAGGACAGATCTTTTTAAAATTATATGTAGGATCTTTGTGGAGAAAATTCTGAAACTTTATTGAAAGATGTTCAAGAAATTCTGAATCAATGGAAAGAAATGCCACGTCCATTGGTGACAGACTCAATGTCATGGAGAGGCCATATCTATGCAGTTCCACAAATCCAGAGTAATTCCCATTAATATCCCCAGGGGGCTTCTTCATGGACTTGCTCAAGCTGACCTTAGAATCAGTATGGAAAAGCAAAACACCAAGCCTAGATACGGCTGAGCAAACGGGCGAACACTCCTATAGTGTCAAGTTTACAAACAGTAGGTAGTAAGTAGACCAATGAAACAATAATGTAGAGATCCAAAACAGGCCCACTCATATGTGGACGCCATGTTCACAGGCACTTTTATGAGAAAAGACAAATTACTCAATAAAGGGTGCCCAGAAAATTATCGGGTAGTCCAAATAAGATGGGGGGAAAAAACTTTACCTTATACCATAAATGAAAAATAACACATTTACATTTCTAATGTGAAAAACAAAATTTAAAAATATTTAAGAGGAAATATTGGGGATCACCTTATAATTAGGAATGGGGAAAGATTCTCATACAAGGTACTGAGAATACACAATAGAAAAAGAGATTAATAAATTAGAATATATTAAAATTTGATTAATCAAACGTCAGTAAAGTGAAAAAATAAGCTATAAGAGTTCCACGTGCACTGAGAATATAGAACTCTGAAAAGAATGTTATTCCTATCCAAACAACAAGAAAAAGCAGACAAACCACAGAACATTTGTTTCTTGAACCCATCAGAGATTGGAGGTTGCTCTGGGTAACCAAAGATCCCACAGGGCAAGAGTAGGCAGAGCCCAGGAAGAGACATAAAAGTGTGTAGGAAGAATTCAGCTAATTTTTTTTGTTTAACAAATTGCCGGTGACCTTGTGTGGGCTGGCATCAGAGTGTAGGTCCCTGAAGAGCTGCACTCACAAAGGGAGCATGCATCACACACAGGCTCTTGTCCACAGATAAGAGGCTCCTTGGTGAGTCATGCCCTGCAGCGAGGCAGGCTTGGAGGAGCTGACATTTATTTGGAGGCCTCTGCTGGTTGCTGGGGCAGCAAGTCCTCTCTTGAAGAGGGATCTTCAGGACGCCTCCAGGTTCACCATGCTATGAGTGAGATCATCCTGTTAGGTGAACAGGAAGAGTGAGTTTTATTAAGTATATAAGTAGAGGCATCCAGGCGGCAGTTTGACGTACAGGCCTGTAACTTGGGAATCATTGCTGCTCATTAGTTTGGGAGAGGTATAGTAAAGCTGCTTACCATGAGGACTTTAGAATCACACTGTTTTGAGTTCTCATTTCGGCTCTAAATCGCCCAGTGGCCTTGGATAAGTTAATTCCTCTGAGCCTCCGTGTTTTGTGGGCTTGAATTCATATGTTTTATAAACTGTTGTGTGTGGTGCTTGGCACGTGGTAGTGAGAGAATATCACTAGATTACGGTGATAGTTACAACTGGAATGTGGGTAAGATCTGGGGAGAGCTTCGGAATGAGAATAGACATAGCTTAGGACACCACCCTGGGCTGGGTAGCATGGAGCGGGAGGGACAGACAGAGGTAGGGGTATAAGAGGCTGGGCTGGTTAGAGAGAGTGCAGGAGAGCAGAGGCATTGGCTCAGCAACAGTCTGCAGGGTTGTGCCTTAGAGGGGTCAGACAGGAGACTGTCCAGTGCTTTGAGCAATTCAGAGGACATCTCTGACTTCTTTTGGATTCATTTTAATAAAACGGTGGGATATGGAGCAGTGAAAGGGAGGCAAGGAGATGAAGGCAGTGGCTGGGGACTGCTTTCTATCGCACTTTGGTTGGGGAGGGCAGAGCTGGCAGAATTGGAATGAGGTGAAGACCTTGTGGGCAAAGGCATGACGGAGGAGGAACTGAGTGCCTTTGAAGGAAGAGGGCTTGCTGCCCTAGCAACCAGCACCAGCAGAGCCTTCTAAATAAACGTCAGCTCCTCCAAGCCTGCCTCACTGCAGGGCATGACTCACCAAGGAGCCTCTTATCTGTGGACAAGAGCCTGTGTGTGATGCACACTCCCTTTGTGAGTGCAGCTCTTCAAGGACCTACACTCTGATGCCAGCCCACACAGGTCATTGGCAATTTGTTTTAAAAAAAAAAATTAGCTGAATTCTTTCTACACACTTTTATGTCTCTTCCTGGGCTCTGTCTACTCTTGCCCTGTGGGATCTTTGTTTGGTTACCTAGAGAAACCTCCGATCTCTGATGGGTTCGAGAGACATGTTTTGTGGTTTATCTGATTTTTCTTGTTGTTTTTCACATTCTTTTCAGTGTTCTATATTCTCAGTGCACACGGAACTTCTATAGCTTATTTTTTCACTTTACTGACTTCTGATGAATCAAATTTTAAGTGTGGGCTTGAATTTGTATGTATTGCTCTGTGTGGTGCTTGGCACGTGGTAGCATAAGAATATCACTAGGATACGGATGATAGTTACAATCAGAGTGTGGGTAAGAGCTGGGGAGAGCTTTGGAAAGCCGAATGTGTGCATGGTGCCAGCTGGGCGGTCCTGATGGTGCCTGGCCAAGGCAGCTGAGGAGCCACATTTAAGATTTTGTCTCTTCCCATCTCTTGGGTCCTTCCCAAAACACTAGCCCATTGGAACTGCTAAGGTACAAGTCCTGTCTCCCCTGGAGCCCTTCCTCTGCAGCCACCATCACCACTATATTTAGAATCTAACAGAAGCGACTGTCTGCACATGTCTCTTAGCAACAGTAACCTTGCTGGTCTGATATGGAGACACTGTTTTGTGTGGCTTTGTATTCCTTTTAAAAGCAAACTCTCATCCAGGGAAAAATAAAGGCCTCCTGCATTTTAAAAATCACCATCATTTCTCCCAACCGTCTTTTCAGGCTTTCAGAGTACGGGTGCATGCTGGAGATTAAGGATGTGAGAACATTTCCTGATGGAAGTTCCGTTGTAGACGCAATTGGCATCAGTCGGTTCCGAGTGCTAAACCACCGCCACAGAGATGGCTATAACACAGCGGACATTGAGTATCTTGAAGATGAAAGGGTAAGGCTAACTGTACTGGTATATTTTTACAGAGTTCGGTCCTCTCCTCTTGTTTGCCTCTGCATTGTAAGAAAGCTTTGTCAAACTTGTATTGACAATATTACATAAGCCCTTAATTCATCACTTAAGTTATTTATTTACCTACTTATTTATTTTTGAGTCAAGGTATCCTTCTGTCGTGCAGGCTGCAGTACAGCAGCATGATCTTGGCTCACTGCAGTCTTGACCTCGCATGCTCAAGCGATCCTCCTGCTTTAGCTTCCTAAGTAGCTGGGACTACAGATGCACACCACCACACGTGGCTAATTTAAATTTTTTTTGTTGTTGAGACAGAGTCTCCCTGTGTTGCCCAGGCTGGTCTCAAACTCCTGGGCTCAAGCAGTCCTACCACGTTGGCCTCCCAAAGCACTAGGACTACAGGCATGAGCCACTGCCTTTGGCAGTCATTTATTTTCTCAGTGGTTTTTTACCTGAGTTGGGAGCTGGAAGAGAAATCTCTTTTTTAAAAAGTGACCTTACTGTACTTATGGAGCATGTAAAACTGCACATTGAAAAATAGGCTTGTGATTTGTTATTGGATGTTCTAACCTGGAGCTGGCAAACTTTTTCTGTAAAGGGCCGGATAATAAATACTTTAGACTCTGCAGGCCATATGGTCTCTGTCAAAGCTACTCAGTCCTGCCCTAACAGTGTAAAAGCAGCCATAGACAATGTGTAAAGGCATGAGCATGACTGGTTTTCCATTAAATGTTATTTCCAGAAACATGGTGGTGAGCATGGGCTGACTCATGAACAGCAATTTGTCAATTCCTGTTCTCTGTGTTGGTGTTAGTTCAGAATGTGACAAAAATCTGCAACTTAAAAATACCTTTCAAAGCTAAATATAAAAACCTTGAGTTTATTACCCTTAAGAACTTTTTATGTGTCTAATAGAAATATCAGGACATATAATTTGACAAATTAGCAAAATGTTTTGAGAGATTCTCTGACAGACTTGCACAAGGATGTCCATAGTAGTCTTACTCAATAGTAGCCCCAAACCAGGAGCAACCCAGGTGCTGATCTCCATTGAGTCAGTAAACACACTGTGGTACATTCATGCAATGGAATTCTACCTGTCAATAAAAAGAAATGAACTGCTGGTGCACCAAACAGCATGGATGACTCTCATAGACATGATGTTAAGTGAGAGAAGCCAGACGCAGGACGAACGTGTGCTGTGTGACATCATCTGTATACGTTCAGGAACAGGCAAAACTAAACTCTGGGGATGGAAGTCAGAAAAAGCTTGTGGGGTTGGCTTTGTAACTGACTGGGGAGGGTGGTGTTGAAGAATCCTTCTAGGTAGTGGAATTGTCTGTCTGGTTTTGGGTGATGGTCAGACTGGTGTATACAGTTGAGAAAACTCTTCGAGCTAAACAAGATCTATGTACTTTTCGGTCTGTAAATTATACTGCAGCAAGACATTTTAAAATACTTAAAATGAGGAAATCCTTGGAATTATTGTATCCCTCTTTTAAATTCTTTGGTTGACATTTGGAAATGCGGAAGTGAGGGTATGTAGCCACCCCACATCACACTGGAAGTCATTTTGTGGACAGTGGTGTACGCTTAGGATTTGTGAATGGAGTCACACCCAGGACGCTAGCTCTGTGCCTCCTCCAGCTGCTGATTCTGGTCATCCCAGTGCAGAGGAGCAGAGCAGAGAGCCCAGCCTGGACCAGAAAGTTGGGTTTCAAAGCTATAGCTGAAAGTGATAGTTCTCAGGATCCCTCTCCTGGGTTGATAGACCTGACGGCAGGGTTTATTGGCTGTTGTTGGAGATGACAGCTTTTAATAGTGTATGTGTTTATTTTAAAATGGGGGCTTAGCTACAACATGAAATAACTTTAGCTTATTTTTAAAAGAAAATCCTCTGTCACATATGAATATTTGAATTCTGTAAATCAAATTGAGGGTAGTATATGCATTACATTATAATTTCTCAGCCCACCATAGTTTTTGTAGTACTGGAATTTTATAACAGGAAAGGACCTTCATGGTTTATTCCTGTTTTACAGATGAGAAAACTCTGCCCTAATGAGGCTTTGAGACTAGCTAAATTCACACATGAGAGTCAGTGATGAAGCCAGAATGAACCCTGGCCCCCTGATTTCCAGTTCCATGCCCTTCCTCCTCTTCCAGGTGTTCCCGAACAGGATGGAGGCATAACTTAAATGACAGACTTGATAGTGACATAGGGACTAGAGGCCAAGCTTGGTCCGTCTAAGGTGCTGTGGCCGACCGCAAGCTGGGGTCCATCAGCCCAGCCCGATGTCATAAGTACAGTGTTGTCCTATCAAGCCTTCAGGAATATAGCTTGGTGATATGGAATACAGTTTTTAAAATGTCACTCTTTGACTTGATAATTCTGTCAAGGTCTCTAGGAAACTATTCTAAGGAAATCATACCTCCCTCCCTTGTCAAAAAAAACCCACAATTTTTCATAAATGCTTATATTACTGTGTTATTTTCAAAAATAAAAATCTAGAATATTCTAAATAACTTATGTGAATAGCTAAGTAAATTGGTGTATATCTTAAATATATAATTGCATGCAGCCATTGAAAAATATTCAAAAATTACCTGAAACATGCACTTATGGTATGAAAAGAAAAATCAGGATACAATTGATAGATTTCAATTATGCAAAAAAATACACATTTCTATGTTGAGCATGTACCATTTTTGTGAAATTGATGAATTATTAAAGTGCTAAATGTCACAAATCCACTTAGTGGTGGTGCAGAGGTCACTAACTGTGTTGTGTGCGTAACCATGAATGGTTCCCAGAGCTGTGCCTTTTCCCCGATCAGGTGGAGGGTCCAGAATATGAAGAACTTGCCGCTCTCCATGACTCCGTGCATCAACAGGCTGTTTCCTGGTTTGCGTCTCTCCAGGATCGCATGAGAGAACAAATTTTAAGTCATTTTGGGGTGATGCCAGAGAGAGAACCTGAGCCTCAGGTATCCCCTCCTTTCTCCTTTATAATTCTATTATTTCCTGCTGTAGTGTGCTGATCCGGGATTCTGGTGGAGTGCTTGGCAGTATGATGCTGGGTACCCAGTGTGGCTGCTTATGAACCAGCTCATCTACTCACAGCCCCAAGAAGCACCTACTGTAGCAGCACATGACTTATGAAGCATAACAACAAAGGCTTAAGGGCTTTCTAACAGAACATAATTTCTTTTCTAACAACAATCAATTTATTCTGCTTGGCTGTCAGCTTGCGTAGCCTTTTGCTTCTTTCACTCACATTTTAAAATTTAAGTAGTAACATTATTGCATTGGCACGAACACTCTACGTTCAGCACATAGCATTGCCTTGCACCTGGTATACGGATGTTGGATAAGTGAGGAGAAAATCCTATCATTCTTGTGACATTAGAAGTGTGACTTCCTTGTCCTCTGTGTACCCTGCTACCCAGGTGTCATGGGCTTTCTCCAGTGCTCCCTACGAGTGCTTTTGGTGAAGCTGATTCTTTAAGCAATGAATGACCTTCAGGTTTGTGGAGCATTTCTAAGCTTAGGTGGCCCTCTCCTCTGCCTTAGATGGGTGAGCCAGGCTGGGCTGGTTTCAGATGGTGCATGAGAGTGTATACTTCCCACCTGCACATGACTGCTCAGCTGTCAAAGACAGTAGGGGCAGGGATTGGCTCCCAGCTCGTTTAGGGTGATGTGAAACGTCTTTTGTGTCTTTCTCCATCCATTTTAACTTTTTTTCTCTCTCTTGGAATGTCTATATTTTACCCACTGCCTGAATTCTTTCTTTTCCAAACACAGAATAATGCTTTAAATGCCAGAGATTGCCATCAAGTCCTTCCTAGCTCGCCCTGTTTGCATAAGCCTTTGTTCTACACTGTCCTGAAACTCAGATTCAGAAAGCAAGGTGATTAGACTGACTTGCATTAGAATATAAGTCAGTCTTTTTCCTAGGAGTTTTTGTTTATTAACCAAATTAATCAATCTCTACTTGGTCGGTACATTAGCTTCCTACTACTGTTGTAAGAAATTACCACAAACATGGTGGCTTAAAACAACACATATCTATTGCCTTCCAGTTCTGGTTCTGCAGGCCAGACTGTGATCAGGGTGATGGCAGCGTGCATTCCTCTGTGGAGGTTGTCAGGGAGTCTGCTTCCTTGCATTTGCGGCTTATAGAAGCTGGTGGTATTCCTTGACTTCCTTTCTCTATCAGAGCTGGCAACATGGCCCCTCTCTGACTGTTCTTCCACAGCCACATGTCCCTCTGACCACAGCCCAGAAAGGACCCCATTTGAACACATTGGGCCATCAGGATAATCTCCCCATTCTAAAGTCCTTAGCTTAATCACATCCCCCAAGTCCGTTTGCCGTATAAGGTACCATATTCACAGGTTTCAGGAATTAGTCTTTGGGGGAGACCATTTTTCTGCTGACTACAGTGGGATTTTAGGTAATACATCAATTTTCTTATTTAGAGTCCTTCCCGTTAAGCATGCTACTCAGTTTTTTTCTTTCTCTGTGAGATGAGGAGGTAAAAAGAGTGTGAATCTATATAAAAGGTTGTTTTCTCCATCTGTGCCTTTCTCCCTCTGAAGGGCAGGTCGATGCCTTCCTCACAGTGACCTGGGCTACCCCTGGTGAGCTTTGGCCACAATGCTATTTCTAATCCTCCAGTATAATCTACCTCACCCTACACTAAGGCAACTTGGGCATCCTGCACATTTTTGGAGGAGGAAAAGAGTCAAGAATCCAAGACCCTGGAAACAAAAAGACCTGGATATCTTGGTTGTAATACCAGGAATATTGAGAACAATTTATGATCAGTTTTTGCCTAGCACTCAGAAGTGCTTGTCTGATTATGTAAAATAAAGGTTATTTGGTAGCATAATAATTCTTATGTATCTAATTTATGATAACTCTGGCATATAGCATGCATACATATACATGTTTCATACATACACTCATTTGCCACATCGAGTATGTCACTCAAATGTGTACACATACTTTTAGCCTTTATAACATTATGCTTTATATGGCATGCTTAAGACGTACAAAATAATAGCACAGAACATTGGAAAGTGAAGGTAAAAATGATGGTCTTCTCTTCTGACCAGAATATACTCTTAACTGAAGGCTTGAGAGATGAGAAGTAACTAATTCATAGAATTTCGCCGTGGAAGATGCTTCTCTTTGAAGGCTCTTCCTTTTTTGAGTTTCCCACCTTTAAATGTGTACCATAAAAGTGAACTATATATTTTGAGAGCTGAATGAATTGTGAAATAGCCCTAAAATACAAGGTGGCATTTAATTCTTGCTCAGGTGTCTGTTGGTGGAGCACAAGACTGTGTGGGGAACAGGCTTTTATTTTCAGTGTTAATCAAGCTTTCTTCTCATCTCTTCTGCAGAGTAATCCCAGTGGCCCTGCCTGGTCCTGGTGGATCCTGGCCGTGCTGCCCCTGGAGCGCAAGGCTCAGCTGGCCATCCTCGGCATGACCTCACTCAAAGAGCGGCTCCTTGCCATCCGACGGATATTAGTCATCATCACGCGTAAGATGAATAGTCGGCAGGAGCTGGCTAATGCCAGGCAGAGAAATAATTGATTTTTTTTTCTCTCTGTTAAGGTTTCTGGAAGCCCTTGTACTTTCATAAATGTCAGCCATGGACGAATAGCTGTCCATTCATTGTGCTTTGTCAAGTGCTTGTGGATAAGGTTCCAAAATGGAACACTTGCCAAATATTGAGTCCTCCTCAAAAATGACAATTCTGTGTCTGGTGGGATCTGACCTTGTACAAGGTTAGCCTGAAGTCTGAATGGAGCCCATAGTTGAAAAACAACCTAAGAAAATCTCTTAGAGGCAGATGCTTGGGGAATGCAATTCACTGACAGCACAGGACCCCGCAGATGGTTTACATGTGGTTTAGGTTTCACGAGAAAGAAGGATTCCCTTCCCAGTCAGTATCTTGCTCTGCCAGGTGGAAAAGGCGTGCTTAAGTGTCTAGACAGTAGGAGGAAGCACGTTTTTATCTGGAAGTGGATTTCTTAGAACACAGGCTAACTAAAACGACGCCTAGGCTTTGTGTGTTGCTGTGAAGTTATCTGTGAAATTGAATCATCACACCATTGTTCAGTGTGGGAGCCCAAACTAGTCCTTACCCAAGAAGTAGTAGCCACCGGGTAGAACTGTGTTTAGTGTTCTGTTGTAGTCCCAGGTGTTGTAAATTGCATGTTGTAATCAAATGAATGTCAAAATATAAGAAAGTGTACCTTGGATATAGAAAAACCTAAGAACAGTATAGTTCACTTGAGGAGATATATATATATATATATGTATATATATATATATTTACACACAATAAAGTGAGCAAAAGTGAGTTAAAATTGTATATACATTGGGATGTCAAACATAAAACCGCCAAGTGCAAAGAACGCCTTGAAAGTAGAACCTTGTCTCATTGACCAATGGTTACTAAGCATTTAGAAAAGTCATCTTTTCTACTGGGATTTTAATTAGAAATTAGACCCATCAGTAAATTCAGTTTACTATCCATTTATTAATACACAAAAACATTAACAATCTGTCATACCATGATAATCTGTCTATTTCAGAAAAATAGATCAGAATATACGAAGGGAGGATGGACGGTATGAGATGGAAATATTCAGCAGGTTTTTCTCCAACACCAACCTAAGATTATATTTTTGAAAGAAAGTTTTACAGTGATCAGACCATGTGTTATCTGTTAACGGACAGTACTATAACTTCCATCCTGTAATGCACATCGGTGATATTGATTGGAATAACTGAATCTGAGATACTCATATGTTCTCTCTGGCCTAACCAGCTGGTGCATTGAGTTGGCTTCCTCATCTGCAAGGTAGACATTATTAACCAGAGGGTCACAACCACTAAAGAGCACATCACAGCTGCAAGTTTTGCTTTGTTCATTGAAGTTGTATGTGATGTTTTAGTTTTTAAATATATATCTCATAATACACAATGTTGATGGTTATCAATCCATCAAGCATTTAGTAGAAAGACTTTACAATATTATTAATTTTTCTTGTAGTTTTCAGTAGATAAAACTTAGTCTTATCATGAGAGTTAGAAAATAACAGCGTCACTTAATTATAAGAGAAAATGTGAAAGTCTTTTCCAATCCAGTGTTTCAAGTGCCTCACTTATTGTGAATCTCAACTATCATCTTGAGATGGTTTAATGGCAGTTTGGCCAAGTGATTTCTAAGAGATTTTATTAATTTATGCATTAACAATAGTATTCAACTTTCTTAGGCATTATAACCTAACCCAATGATTTAAAAGGAAACAAAATGCAGCTCACATGCCAGAAGACCTTAACCAGAAGTGGTTTATGAAAATTGATCTGCATTGACCATTCTCTGCCTTCCTCTTTTGGAAAATCTTTTTGTACCTTCATATCACAGCCGAATAGTTATCATCGCCATTTCCATTTGGAAGTGTCTAGATAACCACAATGTGATCACAGCTTCTCCACGAGCCTTCCTAAAGTTAACTTGGTACACTTGCTATAACATTTGGAACCTGTTGCTTTCTCTTCCTCACTCTTTAAATGTCATGTCACACAGTTCTTAGAATCAGAACTATTCAGTTATTTCTTCATGATTCTGCCTGCCTTTCTGGTCTTCTCATTCTGCATGTTGTTATGTAAAAGCCTGAACAACAACGATGACGCAGATGAGAGCAACACATGCTTTTATTTTTTGATACCAGAGGGAATTAACTATGATCACATCGTGCTCTCTCTGTTCAGCATTCCACCCCCACATGCTGCAGCGTGGGAGTAGATTGGTACTTACTGAGCACTTAGAAACATTATGCATCAGGAACAGAGTCAGGATGACTGCGTCCTATGGTCATGTCGTGAAGGAAGCCTCCTTTTACAAACTGAAAAACAAAACAACCCCCAGCTTCAGTTTGCTGCCAATCAAGCCAAAGCAGAACGTCTGCTTCCTCCTCTGCCTGCCCTCTTCTGCCCCTTTTCTGTCAGGGAGATGCCAATTCTAAGCATTTCTCAGAAAATAATTTAATTTCTCATTCAAAGTCAGGACATTCCAGCTTAATTGAACTGAAAGTGCTCCAACAGTCATGCTCTAGTTACATTGGAATAAAAGCAAAAAAGAGTAATAGCAGAGTGGGGGAGTCATTTTTCTTCTTGAGGAACAATACCTGCTGTTCGGTATTTTTCTATTCGTTGCCCAAACCTGCCTGCGTCTTTGAAATGCAAGTAAGATCCCAAAGGCACCATGGCCTTTTTATCATATCCCATCTCCTGTGTGTGTCCTCATCTTCAGAATTGAAAGTTAGGATACTTTTTAAATTTTCAAGAGAATTTAAAATGTTAAGGTTTACCTAAAATGTTAAGGTTTATCCATAGAAACACAATAATTCTTAACCAATTCATATACCAAATTCAATAGTATTATCTCATTTATAGGGTCACAAATGTGTCATTTTTGCACTTAAACCTCTTCCCCCTCAAAAACAAAAAACACCAAGACCATTTAACAAATGATACAACTCTTAACGTATGTCAAGTCTTACCATAGGACTTTTGAATAATCAAGGAACAACTGAAGTTTATGGATGGTAGAATTACAGTGAACTGCGGCATCATCACTGTATTATAACCTTTTTGGAAAATTGGCAGTTGTTACCATCACAATAATCCATTGCCTATGTTACATAGAATTTGTTATAATGTTTAAGTGCTTTAAAAATTATAAAGCACCATCTGTTTATTCTCCTTCTTGTCTTCTTTTGTGCCCCACCACTTAAATTACTCGGGTAAATGCTACTCTTCAAAATTCAAATACTGTCTATCAAATAAGAAGGAATGCAAAAGATATGAAGAAGAAAGGCAATTAGAAGCAAATTAGAAGAAAATAAATGTGGGTGATTTCTTTTAGTTGACAGCACAAAGTTTTATTTTTCCCCAGTATGGCTATCAAGTTGAGTAGGGAGGTCCCTATCTCCCCACTTTTTAGCATAGACAGCAGTGGCAGCCAGTGGAAGGAGTTCTTCCCCTTCAACACCTTCCTGAAGGCCACATTCTGATTCTGTTGTTCACCAAAACCTAATTCCCAGGGAAGCCAGCTCCAGATAGGAAAGATCAGCTGTGTGAGCCATCGCCCACACAGGGAGATAACTGAACCCCTTTGCCAGCATCACCCCCTCTCTACTAGGGTGAGACACATCATTCGGCATACTGGCTCTGACTCCCAGGGAAAGGCTTTTTCCCTTTACTTCAGCCTCACCTTGACTTTTACTTCTCAACTGCTGAATTTCATCAAATAGCCTTTTAGCAGTTTCTCAGCTTTTAGGAGAGCAGAAATAATGAAGAAGTTGAAGTGCACCCATTGCAATTCCCCAAGTTGGGGACGTTAGCTCTGATTTGCACCCAGGTCTGATAAAGGTGACTGGATGAGGACATAGAGAGGTGGATGCCATGGATAGTGTTTACTGTTCCTCACAATTCCTGTAGACACGAGAGAATGAGAGGCAGCAGACCACACCAGGGCATGAGGGGAAGCACTGGAGACAGGCAGAAGCAGGAGTGAGGGAGAGCATGGCTTAGACCCTCTATGGTGTTGTTCTGCAGGACAGGCAGGGCAGGCAAACAGCTTAGACTGTCTGATTTAAGTAACAGCTCAGACTCTAGGCTATATGGGTGGTCTGTAGCCATCTGGCACCTGGCCCTGGGTGATCAGGGTGGGAGATACTGCCTCCTAGTTTGTAAGAGCCAGATAGAGAAGGCAGTTTGGAGGATGGGCTCTGCATTGGTTACTTTGCTCCCAGGCTAGCCCTTTGCTATGTCTAAGAATTGACTCGCCCTGGGACGGGCGGTTTCTCCTGGGTCAGCGAGGTCCCCGAGATGTCAAAATATCATAAAATATAGAACTCACAACTAATACAATTGGTCCCTCTGCTGTTTTGAGATACTGAGGTCACTTTCGAAAGCAAAAACTTTTAAAGAGTAGGGCATTGCCTTAAAAAGCATAGAAAACGTTTTATTCTGAGAGTAGAAAGGAGGAACACACATGGAAATACAGGAGTCCCTTAGGCTGGCCCATAGCTAAGGCTCTCATGTATATGGCATTAGTCAAGAACATAGTTCTGCAGTTTTGGGGGGCCTCTACCAATTTCTTGGTGCAGTTGTTAACGTGTTAAACATACGAGCCTGGTGATATTGCGGTGTTTCTCGGCTTGGGGTGGCAGGTCTGGCAGTTGTGTGGTTGGGGGTGCGCAGTGATAGTTCAGTAAAGGATATGCAGAGACTCGTGGTGTTCATGTGTCACCACAGGGAGGGAGTGTCTATGGAGGCGCAGGACAGGAGGTCGTGTGGAAAGCCAGCTGGGGCGGTAGGAGAAGGCCCTGGGAGTGGGTGCTCCTCCCCCAGGGGTTGAGGAGTTGACTGATAGGAGGCAGTTCCCTCCTGGGAAAGCAAGACACTCCCTTAAGTAGTCCCTTCTTCCAGAGTTTTCATTTAGACATGGGAGTATAGGGAGCCATGTTTTGGCAGAAAGCAGGGCATGTGTCAGGATCATGGGCTAAGCAGATGGGAGGCCAGGAAACATAGTGGACTCCTCAATATTAAAAGGAAGAACAACAAAAATGTCATATGCCCACTTGGTGCCTCAGAAGAGGCAGCCCATGGGCATCACTAGGGCAGAGGTTTTAATATCTGGGACTAAGTCATCTCCCACGGTGAGGCTGTGGCTGGGGCCATGTCATCTTCAGCCATGAGCTGCTGGGCTGGGCAGTGTCTTCTGGGATGTGAGGTCTCCGGCTAAGCGGATCCCTACTTGTGCTGACGTGGTTCCCAGCACTTGGTTGAAACAGTGGCTTACCTGGAGGGTCTGGGCCTTTAGATCATAAACCAGTGAAAGCCCCCAGATCAGTGGTAACAAGATCGATAGACACCAGAATGCGTACAGCTGCACCTGACAGGGTTTTGATTCTTCCTTTTTGGTGGAAGTTTAGGTTCAAGTGGGCTCCGTATCAGATGAGCAGCTGCCTGGCCTGTGGGAGCCCTGGGGTTAATGGATCCAGGAGAGAACATATTCTCTTTCTGGTCTCTAGCACTTATCAGGTGGGCACAAGATCCAAAATTTATAGGAATAGGGAGAAACATTATAAAAGGCCCTAATATGTAATGAGCTTTTATATACAAGAAAGCAAGACGTAGTCCTCTTTTTGTTTAAAGGGGGCTATGGTAATGTGTTTTAAAGTTTGTGTGAGGTGTGAGTCAGCCGAGAGGCCCTAAATTAAGAGAGATTAAGGTTTGTGGGGCAAGATAGAGACCCATTTCGGGGTCCATTTGCAGACCAGAATTTGAAATGGAGCTGTCTGAGGAGACATTATGTCTCTTAGTTAAACCGGTTGTGTGAAACCTGTCAGGGCTGTGGAAGTTGTGACGAAGGCCTTTTCCCAGAGCCTAGTATGGTGGATTCTGAGACGTGGAATGTGTGTCTCAGTTACTTTCAGTGATGCCAGCCACCCTGAAGGGACGAGGAGTACCACGGCAAGACCTTGTATCCCAGCTGTAGCACATGTGAACAGGTGTGATTTAGATTTAGGTTTTGATATCTGTGAGGAAGAGTCCCAGAGTTTTTTATCCTGAAGGGGGGCAACTCTTGAGCAGTGGTCCAACAGTTGGCCATAAATGTGAAATTGGGGCCCTGTGCTGACCAGGGCCTCCAGCGTTAAGACGACTGCCTGACATTGGCCATGTGCATTGCTTTTTGGGTTCCGATTTGTATCAGGGCATCCTGGCTAAAGGATGGAAAGAAGCAACATTCTATTGGGCTCCATCATTTATATGAGGGTTGGCAATGTCATCTCTACTGTTTGTGAACTCCCAGTGCTATTCACTCAGTTAATCTAAGGGACCCCAAGGGATCTGGGGGAAGATGACCTCACAAGGGACTGAGGACATGGAAGACCACTCTCTTGAGGATAGAATGCAGCAGAGGGCCCAGGCTTGGATCCATCCTGTCCTAAGGAGGCATCAGTAGTTTTGCTGAGCTTGTTAGGTGCTTATGATGAGCAACTGGAGATTGGGGTCTTAGGCTCAGGTCTCTAGGAGCCTCTGTGTTCAGGAGAGCCCAGCAGGCACCCAGCCATTTACTGTTATAATGAGGTATAGCATGAGTCTGAGAGGGGCAGTTTCTTCCATCCGAAGCCCTTGGGCACCTATGTCCATCCTAAGTGGGCTGGAACTCCAGGCCTGCGTAGAGCTTGCCGGGGTTTCTATAATGAGGGGGCCTCTGAGGGCACCAACAGGAGTGCCCATGGATTTGAATTTCGTTTGATTTTAGAGGTTGTTTTCAGAGGGAACACCATTTAAAGCAAGCTGATTCGTAAGCAGCAGCAAGAAAATTAAGTAGAATGTGTAAATGAGGACTACATTGCCATCAGAACCTCAAAAGTATTTGAAGATGTTGGACTTGCATGTCCCTAATGAGCATGATGATGAATCTCCTCATTTGTGCTACTGGAGAAGGTGGATGTGGTATAGACCTTGTCTGCAGAGATTGTGTGCTGTGGCAAAGCTGTGGAGCTCCCTGTGGGTGGCCTGCAAAGGTCTATGTGTCCCTTCAGAGCAGGAGGCAAACTGCAGCCAAGAAGCTGTGCAAGCAGGCACTTAATGGGACATGTTAGCCAAGTCTGTAAGATCAAAATATTGGCCAGTTATTTAAGGTATAGAATTAGTAATTTTAATAATACTGGAAATTGGGTAATAGATGGGACCACAGCAATAAGGTTGTAGTAGTCCACCACGAGGCACCCCCTTTTTTTTTCCAGGTTTAAGGATAGAAAAAATTCAGTGGAGAGGCAATGGGTGTAATTACTCTTTATTAATTAGTACATTTTAATTCTTGAAGGCCTCATATTTAACTGTTTTAACTGGAGGTCCAGGGACATCGTTTATCAAGCTAGTTTATAAGTGCCAAAGACTGATTTTAGTTTTAACTTATTATGTGTTATATTAGAGTATCTGTGTCCAATATGGGATATTGGGGCACTGGGTACTATGACCACGGGAAACTTAGGCAGGCTACAGTTAAAGTGAAGCATACCTTCTTTTCCCCTATTTTATGTTGGGTTGCCTTTTTTAAAAGATTATAGGGGGTACAGTGTTTAGATTTAGTGGGATCTCTAGGTATAACTGTAATTTGAGCCCCAGTATTAAGACTATGAAGCTTTAATGGGTACATTTTAGCAAATGTTACAGTTAATTTAGAACCTAAGTTATGGAGACACAAAAGCCAATAGGCACCCTTTTAACTTTTGGTTATATCAATTTTTTAAGTATAAAAATTTATTTATTTGTAATATTAATATATAATTTGTTGCATAAATTTTTAGTGCCTAAGTGTTGGATATCTAATTGGATCAGATAAGGGACCTCCATTTTAGTTTGGTTGTATATGTACAATACGTGTATAATTTATTCTATATTTGCATTAAAATGTTCTATCTATATGTGTGTATGCGTATATATATGCACACACACACATATACACACACAGTCTATTTATTTACCTTTCATTTTCTCCCCTTGTACCTAGGATTTTTCTTGCTTTTCTTTTCTTTTTTTTTTTTCCTGATTTTGTGGCTATTTAGTTGGAAGGAGGCGCTCCCAGCATGTTGAGAGCAGGGTGTTCCGGAGTGTCCAAGCACGCTGGCCACGGTGGGGTTACAGGCTCACATAGCTCAGGGGCTGCTGCAGGTCTCAGGGGAGTGGGACAAAGTGCCCCACCCCTCCCATTTTCTTTAAACCTTGAGCCACTGGTCTCTGTGGATAGATCCTTTGTATCCCACTGGATGGAGGAACGGGTCACAACAGCTGCAAGGCTCCTAAAGCAACATTTAAACCTTTTGGCTGCCGTCATTTCTGTGAGGAGAGCGTCTCTCACCAGCCACAAGGCTGGAGGATCCCTGAAGCACTTGGAGGCCAGTAGCCAGATCCTTTCCCTGTAGTGCAATTAATTCCTTACTGGATGTCAGGGGTGGGCCCTGTAGGTGAGCAGCCCACCACTGACTTCAGCGTTGCTGGCTCAGTTATCAGACTCTCATCCAACACAAGCTCGCAGGGAATAACGTTCGTTGCTCCTTGTGGAGGGAGTTAGCCTCACTGCCCAGCGACCACCAGCCAAGCAAGTAGGTATGTTCAGGTAGAGAATTCAGAGGGACCCAGTGCATCCAATTATATGTCCCAGAAGGTGCCGCATAGGAGACTACGATTGACATCACCCTAATCTGCAGCACCAAGAACAGAATGAGCTCAGTCCTCTTATAAATTAGGCTGGACTGTCACAGACGCTTTGGCAGACACAGCCTACGTGGTGCAGCCAAAGTGCAAACACCAGCAGTGGCCATGCTCCCCAGGGTGGGTCCAGCTAGTAAGCCACGCGTGGCCAAGAGGCAAGGCATGACCTCTGCCACACACAGACTCACCTGCTCACTGTGCCAGTGGTATCAACATGCACCCACATGTTTAATTCATAAAGGAAAGGCTGATGTCACTGGAAGAAAAGTTTGTTACTTGCACTTCTGGAGGAAAGGAGCGTACCATGCCATGCAGGGCCACAGGAGGAGGAGGCACTGGAGTGGTCAGGAGGCAGAACTAGGGACAAGCACAGGTAGGCATCTTTCCATGTGTCTCCATGGCAAAGGCGAAGCTGGGCAGGGGCAGAGTTTAGGATTGGCAGGTTTGACTCTCTTAGGCTGTAGTTATACAGGTGGTCTCCAGCTGTCTGGTGCCTGGCCCTGGGTGATGAGGACAAGGGGATACTGCCTCCTGGGGTAGAAGAGACAGATCGAGGAGTTGGCTCAGAGGACGGGCTCTGAATTGGTTAGTGTGCAAAGGTGTGCTCCCAAGAGAGCCCTTTGCTCTAAGAATTGGCTTACCCTGGGAAGGGCAGTCTCTCCCCAGTCAGTGAGGTCCCCGAGGTGTCAAAACATTATACATTGTCAAAAAAAAAAAAAGCATGATTAATATAAGTTCATTCTGGCATTTCAGGATACAGCTGCTAGAAGAGGTTTGTAGTCTCCAAATGAGCGGGTTTTTCCTCTAGAGAGGGGCGGGCCTGGACCTTCAGGCACCCCTTGGTGTGTTTGGGAACTGAGGAGCAGAAGCACCTGCCTACAGCCCTGCAGCAAAGGAAGCTCCTCTCAGTCACTCAGAGCAGGGAGGGGCTGGGAGAGGCACGTGAGGCTCCCTGGGTACTATGACAGTTCCCAAGGCAGGGGATTGGCCCTGACCGTAATAGAGAACCCTGAGAAGTTTGCTGTCATGAGTCTGAATTGGTTGGCACATGTGACCTTTAAAGGATGAAAATGGAGTTTCCAACATGAATATCTCTAACCTTTTGCTTTTCAGAGATCATTTTTTTAAAAAAATTGCATTGGGACCTTCAGTATTTACCATACATTAAAGTTTTGTCACCTTTTGTACTATAAACAGTTCAACCAGTGATCAACTTCTCTGTCATGCTGTTTACCCCACACACAATTTTCCACTCAATTCTGAAAAAAAAAAAAAAAAAAAAAAAAACATCTGTTAGTAGATAGGTTGGAAAGCTGTGTACTCTATTCATATATTGTTCTTTCATGCTAGTGGAGAGTGGTGTCATTAGCATCTTAATTTTAGAGTTGTGAAATGATTATACCAATTAAGAATTGAATGTGTACTTTTTTTCTATTTAATTAGAGCAAATTTGAATAAATAAGCTGGTATACGTAAACGTAATAATCATGCTTTTTCCTGTTTGGAATAGGCAGTGTGTTGTCATATCCTGTGATAGAGGTCACTCATCTGGCCTTATGTTTCCTAAGTTTAAGTCTGGTTTGAAGATGTTATAGTAATACTCAGTATTTCTTGTTGCTTAAATGAGACCAAACTTAAATGTTACAGTATTTACTACATGTGTTCTTGTACTGTTCATTTCAATTAATTGGTATTGTATATCTAATATGTGATATTTGAACTCAATAAAACGTACAGTGTTGTAAATGTTCTTTAATAAATAATCACACCTAAGTAATAGGCTAGACTGACGAGAAGTTAGGTTAAATCAGTGCCTAGGCTGTGGTGTTAGTGTCATAGGGATGTGACTGGCAGCTTTTCACACAATAAATCAAACAGTTTTCTTCACTCACATTTCTGGACATGAGACATCCAAAGCCAATGTGCCAGTAGGGCTGGGCTTTGTCTGAAGACCCTGGGAAGACTCCTTCTCTGCCTGCTCCAGCTGGTGTGGCTGCAGGCCGACCTCGGCCTTCCTCAGCATGTGGCTGCATCACTCCAGGTTCCGTGTCTGTCAACAGCCTTCTTCCCTCTGTGTGTCTGTGTCCAGATGTCCCTTTCCTTATAGAAGGACACCAGTTACTGGATTTAACACCCACTTTAATGCAGGATGACCTCATCTTAACTTGATTACATCTGCAAAGACCCTATTCCCAAATAAGGTTACAGCCAGTCATGGTGGACATGAATTTTAGAGGAACACTATTCAACCCAGTGCAGATGTGGAATGATTCCAATTTAAGTAGAAAAAAAGGAAAGAGTACTGCCAACGGCCTTGTCTTAAAACCATGATTACTTTTTAAAATCATTTCTATCCAAGGCAGATAAGATTTAACAAGAACTGAAGCATGTCTAGTTGTTTATTTGGGAGGAAGGGGCTTGTTTTCTTAAGGAATACAAATTGTATATGCTGGGTTAACTATGAAAGCACATATTTATTTAGAATTTTTAAAGGCATAAATTAAAATATTTAAAACTTGGCATTACACACTCTACAGAATACTGATAAGTATTTTTATTAACTTCCTGGCACCTTTGTGATACTTTTTCCATCCTCCATTTTTTTTTTTTTTTAAACCTACATACTTTTTTTTTCTTTTTTAGAGACAGGGTCTTGCCCTGTCATCCAGGCTGGAGTGCAGTGGTGCAAACATAGCTCACTGCAGCCTCAACCTCTTGGACTCAAAGGATTCTCCTGCCTCAACCTTCTTAGTGGCTGTGACCACAGGTGCATGCCACTCACTCAGCTAATTTTTTTTACATTCTGTGGAGATGAGGTCTTGCTCTGTTGCCCAGGCTGGTCTCAAATTCCTGGGTTCAAGCAATTCTCCCACCTTGGCCTCCCAAAATGTTGGGATGACAGGCGTGAGCCAGCACACCCAACCCTGCATACTCCTTAATCATCTCTTCCTTCTTAAGACAATTTTGTGTTGGTTGCTAAAGAGAGAATGATATTCAGGTTCTTCCTCTAACATGGATATGGGGCAAAAATCATAGACTAGACGTTTTTGTTTTCACAAGTCATTATTGGTAGTGTCATTTAAATAGGATTGTTGTCAAATTTGGGAAAACTCTGATGAAGTCTTGGGCGGTAAGGGTCAGGCATTTTCCCACTTCCTCATGCAGTGAGTAACCTTAAATCCTTCAGCACTGTTCGATGAAACTTTCCATGACAAGGGACATGCTCTGGATTTGTGCTGTACAGTGTGGTAGCCAACAACCACGTGTCACTGTTGAGCACTGACGATGTGGTTAGTGTGGCTGAGAAACTGAATTTTTATTTAATTCAATTTTAACACTTGGCTTTTCCCCCAGAAAGCTGTCCCCTCCCGGCCCTGTGGCCCACCTTGGTGTCCTCATTTGGGCCTCCCTCCAGGCCCAGTGACTGTGTCCACAGACTGGGGCCTGAACCAGTGGATTTGATGAAAACTAACCAAAGTTTATTATAAACAAAGTTATCCACCTGACTCACCCGAGTATGCTCGGAATGACTGCTGAATCAACGTGTTTGAAAATGAACACGGGTATACTTCTGGATGGGTTCCTCTTTATGTTCTTCCCCTCCTTTCACAGGAAGTCAGGTGTTTCACTCAGGATTGGCTACATGACATGGTGGTAACAAGCATCCCCCAAATCTCAGTGTTTTCAGTGGCAAAGGTTTATTTTTTACTGTTACAACATATTTCTCTGTGGTGGGCACTGTGGTCAATGGCCCACCTTCCCTTCAGTGAGAAACTGGTTGCTGCAGCTGCTGGGAGCTCTACCGGCAGTGGCTTTCGGCTGTCTGCCCCTTCACAGGGCCACCTCACCCAAAGTCTCTTCCTTTTTGGGAAAGTTTACATTCTGTGACTGATCAGAGTCATCACATAGAGGCCTGGCTGTCTCAGCTAAACATGGGACAACTCTGAAGAGCCAGGTTGCTCTGAGCTCTGAGCCTAGCTGATGCTGTCTTGCGCCTGCAGACAGCTGGACTTCTCTCTTTGCCCACAGCCACTTCCTTCCTCATGCATGAGTCCCACCAGTATTAATCCCAAGAACACTCCTTAATAAGCATCCTGCCTGCTAAGTCCTTGTCTCAGATCTGCTTCCATAGAGTCAGCCTGCAATGCTTAGTTAGTACCAGGAGTGGGGATTACAGCTGGATCACTCATCACTTTCCCCCATCACTGGTGGTAGATGGAACACAGCCTCGTCATGAAGTGACAGTCCAATTTTTAAAACATTCGCTGGTTATGAACTGGGATGGCATACTAGCTCCTGCAGCATATCAGCCCTTTAAGAAATATGGAGTAAATCATAACTATAAGGACAATGGAATTGGGTAGCTATCACTAAAATTGGTCAATTATCTGGAAGAAAGATTAAATGCATAAATAGTTAATCACCAGCTGAAACCAGGGGAAGAATTTGAATATCGACATTCCCCTGCACCTATAGAAGTAGCTTGGAGATGATGGTACAAAGGCGGCTTCTTGCAGGGGCTGACGCCACATGCCCCGCTGAATTTACCTCACCTTCCCTCCTAGTCACTTAGCCTGTAGCTAGGGTGAAGTACCAGTGAAACCCACTGGGATGTTCTGAGCCTGGTGTGGGGGGAGGGAAACACTACATCCCCCAGGAGCTGTAAGTCCTAGCAAGCATGGACCAGCAGAAGCCAGGAAACTGCTGGGTGGGAATCTGAGGGTGTTTTATCCAGGGGACTGATAGGCAGTGTTGAATAAAAGAGAGCTGGTCAATTTGCGCGTGCTCTCCTGGGATTCAGGATTTGGCACACTGACATGGACCCCAGGGGATGGGAGATTATCCTAGTGAAAGGGACAGCAGCCACACTGAAGTCCAAGCCAGAGACGATGACAGGAGAGGCTGCTACACAACTCGGCTCCCTCATGGCTGTCGGGATGGCACAATTCCAAAACAACAGAGGCCACGCGGAACCACCAGGAGCCAGGGGAGCACAATGACTGTGATGAGGCACTGTGTCTGGGGAGTCGAGGGAGGGCTGCTGCTGGCTCATAGGTACAGAAGAGGTTAGTAAAGCAGTGACTCTCTCGGGGCAAAATAGCTGGCAGGGAGCCGCTCAGCCCCACTAAAAGCAATAAGGAGTGATGGTGAGGAGCCATGGAGGCACGGTCCTCATGAATATTCACATTCCCTTGGTCTGGTTTCCATGTCTGAGCTGGTTTCAGACCCAGAACCCATTGACTGAAGAATAGAACCACTCTCCCGGAGGAAGGGCCTGCAGTACCATGGCTGGGTTCCCGTTGATGAAAGTGCCGTCACCGTTTGCTCAGATAACAGTACACTGCAGGAAAGGGAGGTGGTGCATTTCAAGGACTCTGGGGGTCCAAATCCACATTGCTTCCAGGAACATAGAACATACTAGAATGGGGTACATGAGGACCCCTATTAGAATGGGGTACATGAGGACCAGGTAATAAATGCAGCTTCAGTCAGGATTTGGGTCACAGTGGGTCATTTTCCTGGTACCTAATTTTTTTCCTGGTACCCAATATCATCAGAAGGGACACATTTAAGAGTATTCTTGGCCGGAGAGGCAAGAGCTATTACAGTGAAGAGGAGAAACGGAAGCCTCTAAAACTCTTTCCTCTTCCCCTCGGCCACTGTAGTAAATAACAGTATCATGTCCCAGGAAGGGTGGCAGAATTTAGCATCGCTGTTAAATATCTAGAGGAGGCAGAGGTTGTGGCCCATCATTTATCTATTTAACTTACAAGTCTTGCCATTGAAAACTCCTGGTGGACCCTAGAAAATGAGAGTAGACTCCTGTAAACTCAACTGAGGATTAGTACTCATTGCCATCTGCTGTGCCAGATATATTTTTATATCTTTGCTAGGACAGAGTCACTTGGACTGAAGCAAATGTTATACACACACTGATTTTGCAAGTGTGTTTTCTATCTGAAAAGCACTTTACTTTCACATGAAACAAACAATGTGTACATTTATAGTTTTGCCCCAGGGCTAATGTTGACCCACCTGCCCTTTGTCATAATTAAAGTAGGAAGAGATATGGACCATTTAGAAGATTTGTAGAACCTCATATTCAATCTACGACATCACTGATGGTAGCATCTAATCAAACTGGATGAGCAAGAAGTGGCTAGCACATCAGAGGCCTGGGTAAAACACACGCACCCCAGAGGATGGGAGATAAACCTTACAGTGATCCAGGGCTTTCCACATCAGGGAAATTTCCAGGGAGGCAGGGATGAGGGGCATTCAGGACAAATCACTGCATCTGGCACCTGCCGTGAGGAAAGAAGCTCAGTACCTTGTAAGCTGCTTTCGGTTTTGGAGGCAGCGTATGACACATCTGGGAGGGCTGCTCAGACTTGTGTCCTGGGAGAAATAAAAAGGCTGCCTGCTCTGGGGAGGGCCAAGTGCAGTAAAGAGCTCTGCCCTGGGCCCAGGCTGTGTTGCATGGAGCGCTGACACCTGAGCACGTAACCTGGCCGACTGTGACATTAGCAGGATCCCTTGGGGGTATTGTAGGCTGAACTGTGTCAGCTGACATCCCCTCGAACAAGAATTCATATGTTGAAGTCCTAAATCCCAGTACCTTAGAATGTGACCCAAACAGTGTCATTGCAGAAGAGTTAATTAAGGTAAAATGAGGTCATTAGGGTGGGCCCTAATCCAATATGACTGGTGTACTTATAAGAGAAAATTTAGACACAGCTACATCC